GGTATGTAGGGTACATTACCATCTTCAAATAAATAAACTAAACTATGAGCATCTTTCACTGCTCAGGAGATTGGAATTACTGAGTCAGTGAACCACAAAGCCTGTTAAACCTATGGAAAAAGGAAAACATGCAGATGCAACAACCTTGCATTTGTTAGCCGTTAACTAAAGACAAAAGCAATTCCCACCAACAGAGCCTATGGCTTGAGCAGATTAGAAAATTCTGTAAATCCCCCACTGCCAGGTGTTTTTCTTGGTAGTAACTCCCAGAGAAGTTGTTTTGAGTGATAGTGGGGTGGATCAGAGGAGGCCTAGTATCTGTGAGGCCCAAGTGCCTCCATTTCTCTGCTAGATCCTAGAATCAGCTCTGTTAGGTATAGCAGCCTGGAGCTGATATAGTTAATTGTCTCCACATTAAAGCAGATGAGAGGGAAAACAAAAACTTCCAAGATGAAGGAAATACACACCCCTAAAACTTGGTGTAACCCAGCAGGGCTGTGGAATTGGCAGATCATGCCTACACACCCACCCCAATATAGGATTTCACAGTTAGTCTTCAACTGAAAAAGTCAACTTAATGCCCAAACAGGGATGATTCAGGAGACTGATCCTTTCCTTGTGTGCCGTTTCCCTGTCAACTTCCACCCCCACCCCCCCCAGTTCTGTTATCAGCCCCATTAGGAGGGGAAATCCAGGTACCTGCTTGGTTTATATCAGATAGGAGATGACACAGGGGTGGGAGAATTAAAAACCTTCTCCACAGTTGCTTTCCTGAGCAAACTAGAAGCTCCATAAAGCTGTTCAAAGTAAAGAAAAAGATGTGGAGAGATCTAATTTGATCTGTTTTGATCTCCATACTGGAAAGAATGGTTGTGTGAACTCACTGTAAATTAAAAACAAAGCATTTCTGAAAAACAAATATTTGTAGTGGTTAGCAATTTGTTTTGGTTGGGGAGGTTCTGATATATCCTCTGAAACTGTTGCCCCATTTGTTCCAGTTCAGCTGACAACCTGCAGCTCTTTGAGCTGTAATGGATCGGTCAGCTTACACAATCAAATTCATTTATGATTTCGAGATGATAACAAAATCCATTACATTTTATTTTCTAGCACAAAAGGTAAGAAATTAAGAGTGCAATTGCATGCAGAATTATAATAACATGGTTTGTTTTCTATTTATTAAAATTCTATACTCCCCTACATCTGATGATCACAGAGTGGTTTACAATATAAAAACGCAAAAACACATAACAAAAAAACCCCAACAGTAACCCCCCTCAGTTTCAAAGACCCATTGCATTTTCCAAAAACAAAAAGCCCTTATAAAATTATCATTTTAGTATGGTTTTTTTCTAATATATACACATTTTTTGGAATACAGTTTCCCCTAACCATGATTTTAAAAGTTTTTTTGCTAATATATACATTTTTGCGCACACTTCCAGTACAAGCATTTTTGTGTTTATTGCTTGGTTGGAGAACAGCATTAAATTCATCAACGTGGTTTTTGAAGAATAGCTGTGTTTTAGTTCATATATATTTTTCAAACAGTGAATTATGTAGGTTTGCACTAAAATCTGAATTGAACTGAATTTCTGTTCTATCCCTAGTTACAAGTGATTTCCTATTATAAAACTGAGTTCTCTAAATTTTCAAGTGGAATAGCATCTGATGTGCTCTAAGAAACGTTAAAGGATTATTCCGTATAAAAGACTTCTTCATTCCCACAATCCTCATCATTTAAGTCATTGTGGCCTGTCATGTTTACATAAAATAGTAATTAAAAATATTTTAAACATTTTTTTAATGTTTGGAAATATTTGAAGTACACTATTAACAACAGGTTTTACTTAGCAGTGTAGCAAAACTTTTAATATAGTTGGAACCCACAATATTTATTCAAAAAGCATGAAACCTTAAAAGTGTTGAAATTAAGTAGTCCAGTACTCATGAAAGCACCAGGTCTGTATTCAGTTGCACACAGTTAATTTAAAAGGGTTATAAGCACATGTAATTGGAGACAGAATTTAAGCCTAAGCATTTAAATTACATCTGTCAACCAATTACAGTTTGGTGTTTGCTTTTATTGTTAGTCCTTCAATATTTATGCATGATCTGATTAAAACAATTATACTAGCACTAGATTCTCTACAGAAATGAAAGGAGCATTTTCTGTGGATAAGCTGTGGTCCAATTCACATGTGATGTAGAAGTTCCATGACTGGATCTCTTTATAAAAAACACTCCAAAACAGGCAATGGGCGCTTCGATGCGGTCAAAGCAATGGCACTGATTAAAGTGATATTCAATTTTTCCCTCCCTATACGAGTTTCCTGATTTACCAGTGCTTTGATCAAAAGTTGATAGATCTGTTGATGGATCTACCATGTCATGTGTGGTTTGGCTAAAGATTTATAATTTCTGGAAATTTTGAAGCCATGGGCGGGGGTGGGGAAGGAAATTCTGCCTTTTCCCTATCCCGGGGTTTTGGAGGTAAATGGAATTTTGGGGGAGAAATTGAAAGACATCCCAAACTTACACTATTTGGCATGGCTAATTGGCATATTTAAAGAACACCCCCTTTCCTGAGAAATAAGACCTTACCCTGAGATTGGGGAGAAAAACCCAGACAGGAACACTGAAACAACTATGAGATATCTCATACATTTTATGTTGTTAAAGTAAGATAACTTTAGGTTTGGTAAGAAATTAAATATTGCATATATTTCTTTTTTCCCCCTTACATAATAAGCATAGCACACATTATGAGAGAGTAAAAAGTATTTCTCTCATTCCAAAAGATCAAAATAATTCATAGGAGGGTTTTTTTCAGTATTTCCCAAAATTTTGGCTAATGCCAAAATTTAATGGCATTAACCATGCCAAATAGTATACGTTTGGGATGTATTTCCATTGGAAAAATGGGGCAGGGGAGTCCTTGTGGAAATATTGGGTCCTCTCCTAATTTGCCCCTGCCCATGGGCCTTTACATCTCTTTGTCTCATATTGCTGGACTAAAACTCCTGCCATCCTGCCCATTGGCTAAGTTGGCCAGCTGGGGCTGATGTTAGTCCAAAAACGTGGAGGCCGCAGGCTCCTCATCCCTGCTTCATATGAGTATCAAGTTAAGCTTGCTTACTGATGACACGATAATATTAAGGTATTTTATATCAGGAAAATAACAGAAGAGAATAACTGAGAGCTGTGTAGTTTCATTTTGTTGAATGCTCTAGATCTTTTTCAACTGAATATCAGGGGGCGCCACCATTGCTTTTTGAGTTAACTGTTGACCCAAAGGCACCAAAAGTAGCTTTTCAATGAACAGGCATGGTGTGGTCAGTTCTGAACAGGTTTGGGAGCTTTACTTTCTCTGATTTAAGGGATAAGTGCATTTTCAGCTTTTTCCAAACTGGAACAATGAGCCCTAAAGAATACTTTGGTTTTGTTTTTTTGTTTAGCTCTTCTGTTTCTAATTCCCTAGAGAACCAAAAGCACATGAAATAATCATGAGAGTCACAAAAAGAAAGTATTAAACATTCACAACCCTCATAAAGATTTGATTCTTTGACCTTGGTAAAAGAGCAAGGCTCAAAAGAAAAGGTGTTAGTTAAAAATATAGTAACCTTTAAACTGTGGTTCTCTTATCCCCATAAAGAATGTCATATTTTAAAAAAATACACTTACTGTTAAATAGACCGTTCATTCTTCATTTGAAGAAAAATAAAGAAACCCCTGTACAGATGAAGGATCTAAAAATAGTTGTTTTTCATTCATTATAATTAACTTAGAAGTATGGATTTGCTCCCCACACACCACAATCTTGGGAACATGGTTTCAGTGTAATATCACATGTTTTGCATGCAGAAAATCCCAGCTTTAATCTCTGGGTTCTCTAGATAGAAGTAAAAAAGACTTTTGCCTGAAACTCTGGAAAGCTGATGCCGGTTGATGTGTAGATAGACTAATGGACTGGTTTGGTATAAGACAACTTTCTATGTTAGTAATGCTTACTCCATCACAGAGGTATGTTGTTGTTTAGTCGTTTAGTCGTGTCCGACTCTTCGTGACCCCATGGACCAGAGCACGCCAGGCACCTCTGTCTTCCACTGCCTCCCGCAGTTTGGTCAGACTCATGCTGGTAGCTTCGAGAACACTATCCAACCATCTCGTCCTCTGTCGTCCCCTTCTCCTTGTGCCCTCCATCTTTCCCAACATCAGGGTCTTTTCCAGGGAGTCTTCTCTTCTCATGAGGTGGCCAAAGTATTGGAGCCTCAGCTTCACGATCTGTCCTTCCAGTGAGCACTCCTTTTGTCAAGTTGATTTCTACAGAATCATCCTTGGATGAGTATCTTTGCCACCAGATAGTCGGGCTGAAAACCCAGTATAGTATAGTATTCAGCATTTCCTGCACAGATTGACATTCGATTTTTAAGTTGTCCGTTTTATTTACATGTTCAATTGGGTTTGCAGTTCTGTACAAAATGGCAAACATTTCTCCCAGCATGGTTGTTCCTTACATTCCTTTCCCATTTAGCATTATGCAAATAACTTTTTTGGGAAATATTTGGTCAGTGAGAGGTTTTGGTGCAACAACAACAACAACAGAAGAATACTTGCTTAGAGAATGTTGATCCTTGTCCAGCCGTTCCACTGCAGTTCTTGCATCCAGATTTCTTGATGTTTGTTTATCTCACAGTTCATTATTTAAGGCTGGTCTGTCAAAGTAGGTTAAATATTCTTTGGGAAACATGGTTACCTCTTTGATATACCAACAGTCTGTTAAATATAGGAAAGATTGGCCTGATAAGAGAGACATGATAAACTTCCATCACTAAAAATATTTTGTTCTTTGTTCCGTTTGGGTTTCTAAAAGCATCAATAAGCTGTGAAATCTCATTGCTATAAATTTCTGGAACAGACGCACAGAAACACTGGCAAAGCAGTGAAAATGATTGCTGATGATTCATTCTAACTATTTGACCTTCTGACCTCTTTTACAGATATATGACCAAGATGGGACACTACAGCACTTTATTGATGGTGGGGAACCCAGTAAGTCAAGCTGGATGAGGTATATTCGATGTGCAAGGCACTGTGGGGAGCAGAACTTAACTGTAGTCCAGTACAGGTAAAGTGTGTTTCAGTTTATTCTCCAAATATCTTTTTATTTTGCTGTGATAAAAGCATTGCCAAAGAAATGTGTTTTAGAAAACTGTAAGGAGCTGAACTTACTGGGCTGGATCTAAACGTGCCCTTTGAAAATGGGAGGGCTGTATCTGATGTAGCACAAGATGGTTTTGTGAGAATAGGCAACTGAATCCCAGTAATGTGCTTCTGTTTGTAGAACACATTACAATATCTACAACCACAAGGGTTTGTACAACATTTCAAAATGGGTACTGTGCAAAATCTTCTGCTGGTTCCATTTTGCAGAACAGTACCCCTGCAATAAATTTCTTCTTTTGGTATATCTCTGGCATATGTCCATTGTCCACTTTACATAAAAAGGTCTGGCCTGGTCTTATTTAGACAGAGGAATTCACATTTAAGCCATGAGCATAACAACATAAAATGACCTAAAGTTCATTTAATCTAACCTCCTGTTTCCCACTGCGGCCTACCATATATTTCTAGGAAGCCCATAAGCCTGAAGGCAACTGATTTACTCCTCACTAACTCTCTCAGAAACTGGAGCTAGCATTTAGTTATCATGGCTAATCCTTACTAAAGGATTTGTACCCCCAAAATGTGTCTCATTCCCTTTTATAGTCCTTTGTAAGAGTAACTCCTTGCCATCAGCTAACTGGCTTCACATAATATGCTTTTCCTACTTGCTTTCTCAAAATGAATATAGTGAAATGGCAAGAAAACAACACGTGTGACTTCTGAGACACATGTGTTGCTGAGCTCTCTTATAGCAAACTGACACCACACCCTCCTGAGTGCTGTGGATGTTGGAGGACTGATACCTGCAATATATGTCCCTTCTGTGCAGCTTTTAAAGGCATAGTACCACTCACCTGGGAGCCAAAAGCACAGTTTTCCAAAAACAGTGCATGCTGCTTATTCATCTTTCAAATGTTACTACCACTTTCGTCTGAAAATATTGGAGCAGTCAACTTTATCCACAGATAATCAGATATTTTGTGGGATAGCACCTGCCTGCAAAGAAGACCTGTCTGTAGTCAGCTAAGGAACCAACATGAGAAGTTGATTTGGGATATATAAGGTGACTATGAGCTCGCATTTACAGTCAAAGCTGCTTATTAAATGTGCTGTGTAAATATAGGGGCTCTCAATGATAAATAACTGTTTGGCCCTACTGGACTTTTTAGCAGTATGAAGGAATGGCCAACTTGGAAACTGCTACATTAGCTTATTCTTTTAAAAAAATAACCTCAAGCTTTAATCTTTTTTGTGTTATTTTTTTTAATTTAAAAAATCACATATAAAAAAGGGGGGGACATTGTAGTTTTTGTATTATACACCCAGTTTCATAACTAGATAATCATCAAATTATATTTCTTTGGGTCAACCATCAAAGTAGACAAAAGCAGTTGAAAGAGGGGGGGAACACTTGTCAGTTTGTGTCACTAATCCAAGTGCAGCAACAGAGACTTATATTTTTAAAAGACGTCAACAACAATTGTTCTGAATGTCAGCAAAACAGTATTAAATTGGTAAATCAAAGAATTGTTTCTGAGATCATAAAGAACACTTTGACTAGTAGTCATTTTTTTTTATGTCATGAGCATTTATGTAAAGTATTCATACTTTACATAAATAGGGACACGGGTGGCGCTGTGGGTAAAACCTCAGCACCTAGGACTTGCCGATCGCATGGTCAGCGGTTCGAATCCCCGCGTCGGGGTGCGCTCCCGTCGTTCGGTCCCAGCGCCTGCCAACCTAGCAGTTCGAAAGCACCCCCGGGTGCAAGTAGATAAATAGGGACTGCTTACCAGCGGGAAGGTAAACGGCGTTCCGTGTGCTGCGCTGGCTCGCCAGATGCAGCTTGTCACGCTGGCCACGTGACCCGGAAGTGTCTGTGGACAGCGCTGGCTCCCGGCCTATAGAGTGAGATGAGCGCACAACCCTAGAGTCTGGCAAGACTGGCCCGTACGGGCAGGGGTACCTTTACCTTTTTATGTTTATCCACGAGGCCTGTATATGCTCATCCATGTGACACTTCTGGCTACCAAAAAGGATGCAAGTGTAAAGTTGTCCTTTCCATTGAAGGACCCACAGACAGCCCTTGCGGACAAGGGAGGTATTTACATCCATTTACACCACTATGTCTGCAGCAAATCATTGGATCGCTATGTGTGTGCATATTTGCGTACATGCAGATTAAAATCTCAAGCAAAATGAGACCATGAGAAAGTCATTACACATCTGTCAATATTAAGTGGATTTTACAATTCTCCTTTCATGATGGAGCTGTTCCTTAGAGTTCCCTCTGTTGATCTGTTTTCGATTACTTTAGATCTTTTAAAAATGAACTACAAAAACACAATTAAAAAAACAACAATTGGCATCTATCACCAGGGACCACGTCCAAGTGTAAGAAAATAGAAAAGTTGGACACTGAAAAACCGTCTTAATTTTTTATTGTGCATGGATGTCTTCCTCACTGAAAGTCAGCTGTTTCAAATTCATTCTGTTATGATTTGTAATATCTAAATGGAATTTTCTTCAAAGCACTCTTGATTGATTGACCCTTAGCTGAACGTTTTGTTTTTATTTTGAAGCTGACAATAATGTTTGTTGGCATGTGTTCTGCTTCAACTGCGTTGGGACGCCACAAAGCTATCTTTATGAGTCATCCAACCACAATACTAAATACATGTCAGCAAAGGAAATATTATCCGAAAGAGGAAAAATCCCTTTGATGTACTTCAGCATGCAGAGATTTCTGCAAGTTTTGGAAGCTCTATATGCTTGTAAGGAATCGTGTATGCTTACACTCCCCCCCTTTTTTTTTTGGCCTACTCCAAGCCTTAGAGACCACCCATTGCTTGAAAACAGTTCAGCTCTTTCAGCAGCAAAGTGTGTCATTGGGTTTTAGCACATTCATTTGCTGGGCTGCTATGTTTATGTTAGGTGAAGCCAAACAGAGAGATGAAAAGTTACAAGGGTGAAGTACAAAGTTGACTCATTTTTATTTTTTTTTTAAAGTCAGGAGATGCGGGTGATTTATAGCACTGCCCCGATTTTGATTTTTATGTAATGGTGGAAAGAATTAATAAAATGTACAGCTTGGGTGGAAATAGATGGAGGGGTAGGGAGAGAGGGCAGGAAAGAGACGGAGGCAGGAGTTTTTGTCAGATATTCATAGAATGTTGGGAAAAAGCATTATGCTTAGCCAGCAGTGCCCTCCTGAGACAGGGTGGCAGTAAGCGAGGAAAATAACAAGATAAATGAAATTTTTGCAGCTGCTTGTAAAATATTGAGAATCTGCACTTTTTTATTGATCTTTATGATCCTGTTGCCAAGAGCCACTTTGCGGTGACAAAATATGTTGACAAGTGCATATCTCACTGCCATGAAAAATGTGGTTAAGGATTCTCCTTATGTCGGCAGTGTTATACAAGAAACAAATTGCACCGCTACAGCCAATTCTTTATAGAGAGGCTAAATTTAAGGCCTACCAACCCTGCACACTTTTATCTCAAACTTCAGGCTAATATTTGTAGCAATTCTTCATTGCAGAAACCAGTGGAGATTCAACTTTTTTAAAAGTCCATTTATGTCTCCACACTTTACACAAGATAATGTAAAAAATTGTCATTTCTTACTACAATGACTGTATAATTCTGGTAGGCAATATTTCAGCCAGAATGGAAAGCTTGTCTTGTATTTATTGAATTACTATCCATCTCATATAAGTATGTTTTACTTTACTATAACTGGCTTCAACGACAGCCACTCCACAGTTATTTTCATTTTTATTATTTTATCTCCTAAAAGCCTGGTCTCACATTGGTTTTACCAGCATGTGGGGTTTCATATAATTGTTCACTGATTTTTATGTATCTGCTTAAACAAATTTTGAATCTCAGCTCCATTATAAGATGTTAGCTAAACAGAAATATGGATTTACTGGTGAATAGGTAAATGGGTAACTGTTACTACAACCATGGGTTTAGTGGTGAACCATGCCTAAGCCAAGTACAGACATTAGGTGGTAATGCTAGGGAAATATACCCAGGAGTAAGCCCCACTGAAATCAGTGGGAATTTCTTCTTAGTAAATATAGATAGGATTGTACTGCATGTACTTTCATTGTGTCTATTATTTTTTACGAAGGTGTATCAAAAGCAAAATAAGATTCCTAGATTCCCCCCCCCTTCTTTGGACTTAGTTGGTTGTCATTTATGTTCATCCAATATTTGTGATTCTTATGAAATAGTAATGCTTCCCCTATTCGTACTCTGGGGGTTGGGTGGGGAGAGATATGTTCTTTCATTCTTTTATTTACAATATTTCTATACCACCTTTCATCTAAAGATCTTAGGGCATGGGACAGTAAATCTTCAATAAAGAACAATAAATGCCAATAAAAAACAGGGTACATAAACCAGCAGTAAAACAGTCAGCCGTAATAAAATCAGTCACAGTTTCCAAACACCTGTCTAAAAAGAATGTCAACATAGATGCCTGTTGAATTTTGGGGCAGAAGGAACTCCAAAGCCGGGGCGTCACCAAGGAGGCCTGACCCAGTGTATCTGCATATTAATTTATTAAAGTTATATACCACCTTTCAAACTTAAAAGGTTCATAAAAATTCACAGTAACCACAAATATCACAAAGGATGCAATCCTATGCATACTTACAGAAAAGAAAGTTATTGAAGCAAGCCCCACTTTGGAGCTTACTTTGAGAAACATTCCTAGAGTGGACTTCCATTTTCTATAGAAATGTACGTTCATATTCAGCAGAGGTTAGCTAAAGCTTTGAGAAATATATTTCTGTTCTAGGATAAAAGCAGTGTAAAGAAATATCAAGGTTATTAGTAACATTTTATTTTAGATCTAAATCATTTGTTTACTGTGTTAGGAACAAAGCAAACTAGCTTGTCTATGCCAGAAGTAGACTTCAGGCTTGTGGGATCTACTTTAGATTTGGGGTTCTTTTTTAGGGGTGTTGGTGTTGGTTTTATTATCAGAACCCCAAGGTCTCCCAGGCATTTAAACATTTCATGGAAATGTGAAATATTCTAACGTCATAGAAATCATTTTCTATACAAGCATATTTTAAGGATGCTATGCCAAAATTATATATTTGTATTCATCTACGGCACATATTCAGAGTTCAGATGGCTTTTGCTTTGAAATACAATGCACTTTGTTTTTATGCTTTACATGGGCGCCACTTAGAATTTTTTCATCCATCTGTCCATTTATTCATTGTATTTGTGCATTGTCTTCTAACAAAAACAAACCAGAGCAACCTCTGCCTATGTAAAAATAAATACAAATACCATTAATACATATTAGGGTTTTAAAAAAATGATTTGTAGTAGCTACCTTCCTCGCTTGTCACAGGCTAGCTGCTTATACCAGCTCTTTTCATACACCTAGCTACAGTTAGAACGGTTTGTGCCTTTTCTCTTCTTCCTCTCAGGACAAGTTAGTTCTTCCTTAAGCAATCTTGAGATAGTAAGTGGGGTATAGAAGGGGCCAGCTCTGCTAGAACCACTAGGATCTGTATGGAGGGCAGCTTTCACTAGGCTTTTCTCTCTCTTCCACTGATTAGTGGATGCTCCTGAAGAATTATTGCCCAACCATTCATTCTTTCTCCCTTTGCTTGTTATGACCAGGTCAAATATATTCTACAGAGCTTGCATGGATATTCCCAGGGGCACAGAGTTGTTGGTCTGGTATAATGACAGCTACACATCTTTCTTTGGAATCCCGTTACAGTGCATTGCACAAGATGAGAACTGTAAGTATCTTATTTCATCTCCGTATACGTTGGTTTCACATTTTGTTACTACAATTAGTTCTTTGTTCTCCTTAAAATATGTGCAGATTCAAATATGTGAACACTCAGTTTGCATTAAATTATTGTGAATTTTTCCAATTTAGAGATCCATTTTAAGACACTAAGAAAAAACTCTTGACTTGGTAGGGACAGAATTGAACTAAACATAGAATCCAGGAATGAAGCTTGGGCTGTTACTCAAAATGGCACTGCTCTGAAAACTGAAACATGGAAAAGTAGTCTGTAGATTGAAATAATAGACAAAACAATTAAAGTGGCTACAGAAAAATGTTTTATGAAAATCTTTTGCAACCATGTTATGAGGGATTATTCACATCAAGGCAGAGTCCTTGAGTCCAGAGCACAATGAAGGTTGTTAACCATCACTAGTTTTCCATGCCTTTGTTGAGAGCAGTGATCAGCAGAGGGTGCAGAATTTATGTCTTGGTCCAAAGTATACTAATTGCAGTATGACACATACTTCACCCTCCATATAACATTAAAATATATTACTTTCCCCCTGTATTTCATGAGTTATCACTGTCAGCATCTTTAAACCTCCACCATATGATTAGATAATTCACAAAGAATTTTTTTAAACTTTGAAACTGCTTATGGACCCACCTGTAGTGCCCCTGCCCCTCAGAGGGGTGAAACCCAGGCAGCAACAGGTGCAAAACAAAACAGACAGCACAATGATGTGGGATTAAAATTGGCTACAACTTTTATTGCTTTCAGATATAGGTTGGCTTTGACTCACGCATTGGGTATATATCCATTTTCAGCCTCCAGATGGGCTGATGGTCATGCCTGAGATGGAGCATCATTCATGCAGGTCTACTAAGGTGGTCCTCACTAGGCTGCCCATCTGCCCCATGCTTGGCTTCTGGACAGAGACATCCACTTAGACCCCTCTAACAGGGTAACCTCTGAACTAGGGCTGGGCGATATATCAGCATCTAAATACCACAATATGCTGATATATTATGATGTCTGGAATGTATCTTGGCTATTTCTTCCTCCCTGCCTTAGTGGAGGAAGAAGCAGCCAAGATACATTGGCCAGCCCTACACAGTGTACAAGTCCCAATGGCTTGTGCTCAGCTGGGAAGAAGGGACTCCACCCCAGCTGAGCGGTTCAAGGAGGCTCTGATGAGGCATTGGGGTGCCCTCAAAGTAGGCCTGGGTGATAGATCAATGTATCACCCAGGAGTGGTATGAGGGGCAGACCATGATGACAGCTTCACTCAGCGGTACATCGGTGGTGAAACTCCCACCACTCTTGAGTCCTTCTACCTCCAGTGCCTGGCAGGTTGAGGGCGAAACAAGCTTGGGAGTGGTGGCAGTTTCACCTGTGATATACCACTGATGAGACTGCCATCGCACTCTGCCCTCATACTGGCTGAGGGAGAAACAAGCTGCATCGGTGAGAAGAAGAGGAGGAGTTTGGATTTGATATTTCACTCCCTTTAAGGAGTCTCAAAGCGGCTAATATTCTGCTTTCCCTTCCTCCCCCACAACAAACACTCTGTGAGGTGAGTGGGGCTGAGAGACTTCAAAGAAGTGGGACTGGCCCAAGGTCACCCAGCAGCTGCATGTGGAGCAGCGGAGACGCGAACCCGGTTCCCCAGATTACGAGACTAACACTCTTAACCACTACGCCACACTGGCTCTCCAATGGTCAGGTGCCAATACAGCTTGTTCCTCCCTCCACTTCTTTAAACTGCTTGGCCGAGGTGCGTGCTGCTGCCCTTGCCTCAGCCAAGCAGTTTATGGAGCCCCCGACCTGCCAGTGGTGAGGGTGGGGGTTCCATTAAAGTGCTCCCCCTCCCCAGCTGAGAGAGCCCTGATCCCACTCCTGCTTACACAGAAGTAGTAGTAAGAGTGGGAACGCGACTGCTCAGCTGGGAGGTGCGGGTTCTGTTACACTTCTCCATTGAGGGGGCACAGATGCACGCCTCTCAATGGAGAAGTTCAAAGGAGCTCCCACGAGCCAGCTGCGAGGCGTGGGCTCCGATGGAGGCAGCCTTGCTTGGCTACTGCCTGGCTGCCTTTGTCTGGGAGGGTGGGCTGGCTTAGGAGCCGACTCTCCCGGTGGAAGGCAGCTGGGACCCAACGCTCGTCAGCAGCCCCTCTCTGCAAGGCACAGATAGGGTGGCTTTGCAACGTGCCCACACAGGTTAAGGCAGTCAAATGCAGGAGCCCAAGAGGCTCTGTGTACTTGGCTACTGCTGCCTGGTCCATCTTTGGGGAGTGGGGAGCAAGCAGGTAAGGTAGCTCACCAGCCTCCCATGCCGGCGGCAGGGACACCAGGGCAGGCGCCGCTGGCAGGGGAGAGCAGAGCCCTCCTGCTCCCAGCCTTGTCACAGGCTCCTGAATTCGCGAGCGTCAGAGACCTTAGGACTCGCTTAGCTGGGGCAGGAGCCTTTGTGTCCCCCAGCTGAGCAGCAGCCTGGGGGGCAGCTGCATTGGCCGCAGCCCATGATGCGCTGGGGTGAATGTGCCTCAGCTCCTGTCATGAGAGTTGAGGCAGTTTCACTGTGCCTTGCCGGTTGGGGCCAATGCAATTCTTTCAACATCATGGTTTATCACCAAACCACAGTGTTGAAAACCCAACATTGCCCAGTTCTACCTCAAAGGTGCCTGCCTGCCTTTGCCCAAGTGGGCAGGCTGTGTGTTTCCTCCTGGAGCAACCAACTGCCCCAAGAGGAAAGTTGCAGCCCACCCGCTCAGGCAAAGGCAATTTGAGCTGCTGATACATCGCGGCAGCTGAGGAGCCATGATGTACTGCTACCTCAAAAAGTATGAAACCAGTATTGCAATGTGAATGCCATACTGGTTTTAGACAATAAATCAGAGTACTGCCCAGCCCTTCTGTGAACACATCTGCTTGAAGCTGGGGTGATAGACCACTTCACCCCATCCAGAATTGGACTGAGGATTTCAACCAATGCCTTAATCCGCCGACTATTTTTTGCCATCTTGCCACCAAACACACCACAGTTGCAACCAATCCTCTTCCACATCGCTCAACCAGCATTCCTTTCCAGCAGGCGTCAAATGTACACCATCAGGCATGTAAAAGTCCATACTGTCAAAAACTTCATTGCTGGGTGTGGGATAACATGGTCACCAAGGTGTTCCATTGCTCCACAACACTTATCTTCCAGAGGACATGATTAACCTGGTCCTTCCACACGCACAGCCACTGCTCACGTTTTAGGAGCTCTGACCTACAATGATGGTGATTGTTGGAGACTTTTTGTGTAGTCTCTTTTCTTTTTACGTCAGAGACTAGGATAATGTTGACGCTCTTCCAGGTGGTCGGATCATTTTACCCAACTGCAGGATCAACACATCAGGGGAGCTGCATCTTGCTATTTCATGCTCCAACTTAGGGATGAGAGCATCCCAGCACATGCCATGTTGGCCCATCCATGTCATCTTGGCCCTGGCCCGGAGACCCAGCTGTGTACCCCAAGTCATTGCCCTTGCGTAGACTTTTGCTCCTTGCCCACAAATCCAGGCGTTCTTGGAAGGGGCACCTGAAAGAGAGGAGTTACATGGAAAGATTAAGTGAGGGTTATCCAGGGCAAGTGTACCCTTTGTATCCTTCTGAGTGCCACCTGCCTAATGCCTTTGTAAGTTCTGGCCTGAGACTCCATTCAAAGGCTGATGTGGCTGCACCTATGTGATAAGGATGCCCTGTGGATTCTCCCAGGTTCCACCCCTCAGCTTGCCCCTGATAGGACAAATTTGAACTTCGGGATTGTGGCCGGCCACCATGGTGATGTCATTTTGCCCTCTGGGGGGAGGGCTGGCACACTGGGCTGCAATCGCTGCCCACCTTCTGGGCATAGGGGGAGGGGTCAGGGCTGCCGGGGAGTGGGCCCCAGCCCACAAAATGGCTGGGGCATGTTCCACAGGGCGGGATGCACTGGGGCAACCGATCTCAGTGATCACGGGTAGGAGGAGGAGTTACGCTAAGACTAGACCATGTCATTACAGAGGGGTTAGGTTTAGTCGTTGTCTGAGGACTATTCCTGCCTCCAGGTCTGGTCCTAACCGGATGGATACTAGAATCAGCAAGGGATACCCACATGACCTGAAGGTGCTGCTGTGCAATGCCAGGTCAATGATTCATAAGACCACTGCCATCCATGACTTGATCATGGATGGAGGACTTGACCTGGCATGTGTAACAGAGACTTGGTTGGATGAAGCAGATGGGCCTGTCCTTGCCGCTGCTTGTCCACCAGGTTTCTCTTACGCACAGCAACCCAGGTCATGTGGGCGGGGAGGGGGGGTTGCAGTGATTTTTAGGAAGTCATTAGTTTGCACCAGGCGTCCTATTGGGAAGACCCAGTTTTCCGAGTGCATGTTCTGGAAGTTGGGCAATAGGGGCAGTACAGGATTCCTTTGGTGTACCGACCTCCCCGCTGCACCAAGGATTCCCTGCCCGAGCTGCTTCAGGTCGTGGCGGATGTTCTCCTGGAGACACCTAGCCTGGTCGTCCTAGGGGATTTTAACATCCATGCCGACACGACCTTACAAGGGGCCGCTCGGGACTTCATGGAAAGCATGGCCTCCATGGGGCTGTCCCTGAATAAGTCTGGCCCAACTCATAGCCACGGACATGCCTTGGACCTGGTGTTTACCTCTATGGATGTTGGTGATCTGACACTAACTAAAAGCGAAACGAAAGAAGTGCCATGGTCAGATCACTTCCTGGTGCAACTGGACTTCTCTGCGACCCATCCCCTCTGCAGGGAGGTGGGACCAATTCGGATGGTCCGCCCCCGCCACTTAATGGATCCAAATGGTTTCCAGAGAGTGGTAGGGGATGCTTTATCCCATGTTGATGGCCTTTCAGCTGATTCCCGGTGGCCCGCTGGAATGTGGAGTTAACCAGGGCTATTGACTGTTTGGCTCCGAAGCACCCTCTCCGATTGCATGGAGCCC